CCCCAAAACCCCAAAACCCCAAAACCCCAAAACCCCGAGTAACAATAATATTATAAAAATTGCTAAATATGAATAAATACCAAAACCTAGGAATTATTGACTCAGGAGCCTATGGAACTGTTTATAAGGCCAAAGTCAAGGAAACTGATGAAATAGTTGCTATAAAGGAGTTCAAGTCTACCGATGATGACGAGACTGTCAGGAAGACAAGCCTAAGAGAGGTTAAATGTCTCCGATCATTGAAACATCCTAATATAATCCAACTTAAAGATGCCCTTAAGAAGAAAGGAAGGCTCTACCTTGTATTTGAGTTCTGTGATGGAAATCTTCTGAACCTTATGGAAGACGAGGCAACAGATATTGACCCAGAAGACTTTAAGCATTATTTGTACCAGCTCTTGGTCGCGATCGAGTTTTGCCACCGAAATGGCATCATTCATAGAGACATTAAGCCGGAGAACATTCTTATGCAGAAAGAAATTAAGACTCTCAAGTTGTGAGATTTTGGATTTGCTAGAAATATGCCAAATAAAGCGAATGTAAATTTGACAGATTATGTTGCAACCAGATGGTATCGGTCACCAGAACTTGTTCTCAATGCCGGTTATGGAAAGCCTGCAGATATCTGGGCTATTGGCTGTATCATGGGAGAGATGGCTGATGGCGAACCCTTGTTTAATGGTGATTCAGAAATTGATCAGATGTATAAAATACAACAAGTCCTTGGAGAATTTCCAGAAGAACTAAATGAATATTTTAGCAAAAATCCTCGGTTCTTGGGTTATAAATTCCCAAATTTGAGAAAACCTGAGACTCTAGAAAAACGCTATATCGGAAAGTTGTCAAAATAAGGCACTAAATTTGATGTCTGGAATGCTCCAGCTGAGACCTGAGGACAGATTAACTGCAGCTCAGGCTATTATGCATCCATTTTTTAATGAAATCCGTGATCCAGAGTTAGAATCCATTCTAAAGTCAAAGACAAAATCGGGCTCTAAAACTCACCTTAGAGTCAACAATCATAAGGATAAATTTATGAAGAGGCTTAAGAATAAGAACTCATTAAGTCCAGGAGAGGGTGGCTCAAAAGAAGTGTCAAAACCTAGAGCTAACCGTTTCTCTGATGTTAATATGAAATATCACAAAGAAATTCCGTTAAAATCCTCAAGTAAGGGGCCGAGTCAGAAGAAGATTCATGGGAAGCCTCCTATTAACTTCAAGGACGGCAGGAAATATCGAAATCAGAGTCCTAAAGATGAGTATCTGCCTTCTGGGAGTAGCAAGATAATGCCTTCTAATTTTTCAAACTTTTATATTCCCTTCTCTTCCGACAACCCTGGAGGTGACCAATATGGCTATGACATCAATATTGATGAGAAATCATGAGAAAAAGAAGAGACTAAGATATCTATAATTCCTTCTCAGAGAAGAGATTTTTCAGAAGATAATGAAGAAGATGAAATAGCCGTTGTGGTCGATGATTATAAGTCAACAAGCAGATCTCCTATGAAGACTAAATTCTCTCCTGAGAGGTATAATAACGGGAGTTTTAGCCAAGCAAATGTTAATATAATGAATCCTTCCTCTATTGGAAGCGTCCCTGCAGCGCAAATTTATCCAACTTATGAAGCCAGAATGCCCTATGGGAACAGTAAGGTTTCTAAAATTTAACTTTTTAGACAGAAAGAAAGAATCGATTCTTGTTGATTCAGATGATTTAGAAGAATCTAATAACCCATATGTTCACCAAAGTATGATTCTAGAGTATTCTATAAAAATGAATTACTCTTGATTCTAATAGTCCAAGCTCTAATTCTCAATCTAGCAAAGACCAGGAGTAAGAAAAGAAGTAAACCTCGGGCTTCACGATTCAATGACATACATGGGCCTCAAATCATTAGAAATAGCAACACTAGAGAAGACATGAGCGTAAACTCTCCCTTTAATCCTCTAGGGCCAAAGAAATAGTTCAGTAAGGAAGAGCATCAAGAAGCCCCCTCTAGCAAACTCCAAATTCAACACTCCAGGTATTGCAATGTACACTTTCGAGCAGAACCATGATGAGAACCAATACAATTACCAAATCCCAGACGACCAGGATTAACCCTCATACCTTTCTGCATAAATTCTGTTGTTCAATCTCCTTAACCCTCTTAGGGGTTTTGGGGTTTTGGGGTTTTGGGG